ATATCTGAGGACACTTGCACATCACACCCAACTGCGAGACACTCTTTCAGTGCCAATGAGCCAAATCCCCAACATTATAGCCCAGTTTGTACAGGAAGAGAATTTTGATCTCAGGGCTGTGGGTTCAAGCCCCCACTTTGGGCAAAAGCTTCCCGAATTTCAGGGAGTTGGACTAGATGAGTGTCCTGGTCCCTTCCAACTTTACAATTCTATGATTCTAGGAGAAGACTTTGTGGTAGGCAACCTTCCTTTAGAGTCTGCCCTAGAATTGCTTGTTTCAAGCAGAGACATCACCTTGCCAACAAAGGTCCGTATAGTTAAAGCTATGGTTTTCCCTGTAGTGATGTATGGAAGTGAAAGCTGGACCATAAAGAAGGCTGATCGCCGAAGAATTGATGCTTTTGAATTATGGTGCTGGAGGAGACTCTTGAGAGTCCCGTGGACTGCAAGAAGATCAAACCTCTCCATTCTGAAGGAAATCAGCCCTGAGTGCTCACTGGAAGGACAGATCCTGAAGCTGAGGCTCCAAGACTCTGGCCACCTCATGAGAAGAGAAGACTCCCTGGAAAAGACCCTGATGTTGGGAAAGATGGAGGGCACAAGGAGAAGGGGGCAACAGAGGACGAGATGGTTGGGCAGTGTTCTTGAAGCTACCAGCATGAGTTTGACCAAACTGCAGGAGGCAGTGGAAGACAGGAGTGCCTGGCGTGCTCTGGTCCATGGGGTCATGAAGAGTCGGACACGACTAAACGACTAAACAACAACATGAGCAGCCTTTGCAGTAGGCAACCTTCCTTTAGAGTCTGCCCTAGAATTGCTCGTTCCAACTCTCGGTTGTCTTACACCTTTGCTTTATTCCTTTATTATAGCATCGTCCTCAGCGTTCAAAATTCACCAGGCTCCAGGTGCATTTTGCCCCTGCTTGCAAGCAAGTGAAGATGCCCGGGTGCCGGGATGGCGGCGTCTGACGTCTCCACCATCTGGAGGTCCATGCCTGGGGATCCTCGGAGCCCTGACTGTTTTCACACACTGCCAACACATCCTGTAGAATTCCACCCATTATATTTTATCTGCCCAATCAGACTGAATTTCAGAAACAAAAAAAGTTGTATTGAAAAATATGACTTTTGGGCCGCTGGCCCCCAAATGGCAACTAGACATTCCATGTTGGCGACTGCAACCCTGGTTTAAGGAGCCATTTCTCACCTAGCTTATATATCTGAGTTTCTAGCACTGTCACAAGGCCATAGCTGAGTGGCAACATCAGCTTAGCATGCATAAGGTCTCAGATTCCATTCCTGGCATCTCCAGGTAGGCCTGGGACAGACCTCCATCTGAAACCCTGAAGAGCCACTGCCAGCCAGTGCAGGCAGCACTGAACTAGATGGACCAATGGTCTCACTCTCTAGAAAGGCAGCTTTCTAAATCTGACATGTGTATTATTACATTTCTATCCCGCCTTTTTTCTCCAAGGAGTGTACATAGTTATCTTGCCCTCCTCATTTAATCCCCACAACAATCCTGCGAGGTAATAATAATAATAATAATAATAATAATAATAATAATAATAATTTATTTATACCCCGCTCATCTGGCTGGGCTTCCCCAGCCACTCTGGGCAGCTTCCAAAAAAATATTAAAATACTATAATACATCAAACATTAAAAGCTTCCCTAAACAGGGCTGCCTTCAGATGTCTTCTAAAAGTCTGGTAGTTGTTGTTCTTTTTGACATCTGGTGGGAGGGCGTTCCACAGGGAGGGCGCCACTACCAAGAAGGCCCTCTTCCTGGTTCCCTGTAACTCGGCTTCTCACAGTGAGGGAACTGCCAGAAGCCCCTCGGAACTGGACCTCAGTGTCCGGGTATAACGATGGGGGTGGAGACGCTCCTTCAGATATACTGGACCAAGGCCGTTTAGGGCTTTAAAGGTCAGCACCAACACTTTGAATTGTGCTCGGAATCATACTTGGAGCCAATGTAGGTCTTTCAGGACTGGTGTGATATGGTCTCGGCAGCCACTCCCAGTCACCAGTCTAGCTGCCACATTCTGGATTAGTTGTAGTTTCCAGGTCACCTTCAAAGGTAGCCCCACGTAGAGCTCATTGCAGTAGTCCAAGCAGGAGATAACCAGAGCATGCACCACTCTGGCGAGACAGTCCGCAGGCAGGTAGGGTCTCAGCCTACGTACCAGATGGAGCTGGTAAACAGCTGTCCTGGACACAGATTTGACTGAGCTTTGCGGCAGAGGGGGGATTGGGACCCTAGTCTGCCAGGTCTTAGTCCAGCCCTCTAACCACTACACCACACTGGCACCTGGATGATCGACATGACCAACTGGGAGTGGGGGAAGACTACCTTAGTCAGGCTGCAAGGCACCCAAGTCATGGAGGAAGCATGGAGAGGTTTTGAGGGCAAGGAAGGCTAATCTGCGGCTCTCCAGGTGTTGCAGGACTCCAAAGGTCATCCGCCACAGCTAGCAAGGCTCAGGCATGAGGGAAGCTGCAGTCCAGTGAGCTCTGAAGGACTGTAGGTTCCCCAACTGCCTAAGCGGTCAGATTCAGAACAGGTTACATGAAAGTAGGCGGTTGTAGAATTGTAGAGTTGGATGGGACCCCACGAGTCATCTAGTCCAACCCCTGCAGGGCTGAAAGCACAGGTAAACATTTTGGCACAGGAAGTGGGGCTTCCAAGCACCTCTCAAACAAATGCTGACACTGCTCAGGGATAGAGCAGATGTTTTGGATGTCTCCTTGCCTGATGCCGGTCAGCGCAAGACAATACTCAGTTAGATGGAACAATGGCCTGAGTCCGTTTAAGGCTTCTTCTCCCTTTGTTGCTTGTGCCTAAGTTGTGAGGTACAACACGAACCAGCAACATCCAGCCAGGGAACATATTTGTGGTGTTTTTGTTTGTTTTGTTTTTAAAAAAACCCCACCACCCATCTTCCTTTCAAAGAGTCCAGGGCAGCACACATTTTCCACATCACAACAGCCCTGCAAAGTAGGTCAGACCAAGACATTGTGACAAGCCGAGGCTCACCCACTAAGCTTCATAACTGAGTTGGGATTTGAATCCAGGGTTCCATATTAGGTACAAAGTAGGTAGCTCAGCCTGGATAGCTCAGCTGGTTACAGCATGGTGCTGATAATGCCAAGCTGGATGGGACATATGCCTGCCTTGTGAGGGGTTGGACTAGAGGATCTTCAGGGTCCCTTCCAACTCTACAATTGTGCAATTCTATGAGATTGCTATGCAGTGATGGTCACTGACCTGAATGGCTTTAAAAGGGGAACAGATACATCATGGAAGAGGAGGTTTCAATGGCTGCTATGGTCATGAAGGCTATGTTCTACCTCCATTGTTAGAAGAAGAAGAGTTTGGATTTGATATCCCGCCTTTCACTCCCTTTAAGGAGTCTCAAAGTGGCTAACATTCTCCTTTCCCTTCCTCCCCCACAACAAACACTCTGAGAGGTGAGTGAGGCTGAGAGACTTCAGAGAAGTGTGACTGGCCCAAGGTCACCCAGCAGCTGCATGTGGAGGAGCGGGGATGCGAACCTGGTTCACCAGATTACGAGTCTACCGCTCTTAACCACTACACCCATTGGCTCTATGCCTCTGTAGAAGGGACTTTTTATCATATGTGGTGGGAAAGTAAAGAAGTTAAAAAATATTGGGAAATGATATATAATGAACTGAAGAAAATGTTTAAAATGACATCTGTTAAAAAATGAGAAGCATTTTTGTTAGGGATTGTAGGACAAGACCCTGCCAAGGAAAATAAAGAATTTATTTATGTATGCAACAACAGTGGCAAGAGTCTTGATAGCACAAGGATGGAAGAATGAGGAAACCCCGACAAAAGAACAGTGGCAAGAGAAACTGATGGATTATGCAGAACTGGCTAAATTGACACACAAACTACGAGATAAGGACGACTGTGACTTTAAACAAGAATGGGAACTTTTTACAAATTACTTAAAAAGACAACAAAATGAACTGGACTCCTTGGCAGGTTTTGAATAAACATACGCAAATTTATTGATTGATAACATGGCAGATAGATAATGTAGGAGTTGCATAATTTTATAACATGCAGAGAATAATATGTGTTGAGAAATCAGAGAGAGGAGCTGAGGGAAGTCTCTGGGGGAGGGGGGAGGGTTTGGGGGTGGGGGGAAAAGGGGGGAAATAATGAATATGATATGTTTTGATAAGCTGTTATGTTGAAATTGCTAATAAAAACTTTTTTTTTTTAAAAAAAAGATGCGCTATGCCTCTGGATTCCAGCTGCTGAGGAGCAAAAGTGGGGAAACAGATTCTTGAACTCAGGTCCTGCCTGGGGGCTTTCCACAAGCATCTTGTTGGCCACTGTGACAACAGGACGTTGGACTGGAGGGGTCTTCTGGCCTGATCCAGCAGCGATGCGAACCCCATTGCTGCTGTTCCACCAGAGACAACTAATTGCATATCCGGCAGAAATTCATTCTGGAGGCAACGGGTTGCTCACATATCAGAATATATCCTCCTGTTAGCACAGCTTCCACCCCGTCCTTTCAAAACCCTCTGTCACCGCGCCACTAATAACAGCAACACCGTGCCTCTCTGAGCATGCACAGAGTACGTTCCTCCTCCCAACCCAGCCGCCAAAGACCATGCAGGAACTCTGAAGAGATGTAACCTTCCACAGAAGACCCGCCCACGTCCAACTGAACGCGGTGGTGATGGATATGATTCATTCAGGGTGCAAAAGAGCCGGGGGGTAAAGGTACGAGTGCCGCTTCCAAGCCCCTCTTCTTTCTAGCAATAACGAGCCCCCTCCCCAGATCTTCCCAGTTTGCGGTGGCTTGGAAGCGGGTAAGGAAACGCGCGCGCCCCAGCGCCAAATCAACTGCCTGCCCTTTTCCTCCTTGGTCCTCCCTCGTGGCAGCAGCCCGGGCTAGGCAAGAGCCTCCCGCTCTTCCCCAAAAAAGTGCCGGCCTCTTTCTCTCTCTCTTTTACCTGCTGAAGAAACCAGCTCCCCCTCGCTCAGCTCTCCGGAATCCGAATCCATGGTGGCGCGGCGGAGCAGCTGCCCGGGTTCCGCGTCTCCAAGAGCGCAAACGCCTCGTCTCGGCCGCTTGCGAGAAGTCGGGCGCCCAGATTACTTGGAGAAGGAGGGAGGGACAAGGAGGGCGGTCCGGTCCGGTCCTCCTCCGCCTCCTCCTCCTCCTCCTCCCAGCCCAGTGCCGGGTCAGCTCCGCCACATGCAGTAGCAAACCGCCGCCGCCGCCACCTCCTCCTTCTCCTAGCAGCGAAACGCGTCGGGCTGCTGGCACAGGCGGAGCCAAGAGGCCAGCCGGCCGGCGGCGCGCTGGCTCGTGTGTTTTTTTTGAGGGGCAGCCTGGGGAGGCGAGAAGGAAGAGGGGCTGGGGGTGGGGGAAGAGCTCAAGAAGCAGGAACAGTATTTTCTCCCTGGTTCTCCTCGCTGCCCCTTGATGTGAGATCCAGCTGGATCGCTTTCCAGCAACTCCCTCCGCCTCTCTCTGGGCGTCTCCACGTTATTTCCGAGCGCGTAACTCAAAGGATTGGGAGGACCCGAGGATCGCGCTCCCTCGTGGGCAACCTTTGTGGGACGGCGGGGAGTGGGGAGGAGAGAGATGCCGGTGGATGGATGGAGGTGTGCAATTGAGGGCATTTTCTTGCCGGACAGAACTTAAAAGGCAGGCCAGCGAGTGAGAAGCGGAATCAGCTGTGCAGGGGACTCGAGAGCGCGGAGCAAAGGCCAGTGGGGTGTGTGTTCTGGGGTCAATGGTGCAAGTAAGGGGCTTGCTGGATCAGGCCCATCTAGTGCAGCATCCTTTTTCTCACAATGGGCAAGCAGATGCCTCACTGGGAAACCTGCAAGCAGGATTCAAGCACAAGCACACATTTCTCCAATGAAAACAGGGAGATTGCCCCAGCCACTCTGGGCAGCTTCCCACATACAGTCATACCTCGGGATGAATACGCTTCAGGTTAAGCATTTTCGGGTTGCGCTCCGCAGCGACCCGGAAATAACGGAACATGTTACTTCTGGGTTTCGCTGCTCGCGCATGCTCAAAATGACGTCATGCACATGCATGAAGCAGGAAAATGTGACCCACGCATGCGCAGACGCGCAGTCGCATTTTACGTTCGCTTCACGATTCGAACGGGGCTCTGGAACGGATCCCATTCGCATCCAGAGGTACCACTGTATATAAAAACATAATGAAACTTTTAGAAAACCTTCCCTATACAAGGCTGCCTTCAGATGTCTTCCAAACTCCTTGCCTCGGGGGTTGCATAACTCCATACATATCCTCCCACATTTCTCTGATGAAAACAGGGACATCCTAAGCAGTGGCGTAGCGTGGGTTGTCAGCACCCGGGGCAAGGCAAGTAATTTGCGCCCCCTAACCCGTGGATTTGCGCCCCCCCTGAACCTGTGGATTTGCGCCCCCTAACCCATGGATTTGCCCTAACCCCAGATGTTGCGCCCCGTGCGGCCGGCCCCCCCTGCACCCCCCACGCTACGCCACTGATCCTAAGGAAAAGCGGAGCATTCTGGGGTCAAATCAGAAACTGGGGCAGCTTCTGTAAATCTGGGACTGTCCCTGGAAAACAGGGACACCTGGGGGTCTGAGCACAAGAGCACTTTCTCCTGTGGTTTCCAGCAACTGGTCATCAGAAGCATTGCTGATTCCAAGTTGAGCATAGCGAAGATAGCCCTCTCCTTCAGGAATTTCTCTAATCCTCTTTCAAATCTATCGAGGTTGGTAGCCGGCCCTGCCGAGCAGGTTCCAGAGTTCAGCTATGTGCTGTGTGTAGGAGCGCTTTTCCTTCCCTCTTTTTCTGATGCTCTGCTTTCTGTAGGTTGCTTAAGCAGCCAAAATGGTACCACCTGCACACTCAACAGTGAGGAGCAGCCTAGAACTTGGTAGGGAGGAGAATGGTGTGTGTGTGCGTGCAAATGAGAATCAGTTGGTTCTGCCTGTTGTTGGCTTTGGCTCCACCTGCTGTTGGCATCTTAGCCTTCCAATCTCGATGGTCACCTGCCACTGCCAGGGACACCATAGTTCTTCTTCCTTCTTTTCAAAGCATAGCTCCGTATGTCCAAAGGCAACTGAGCCGAGCAGGATATTAGTCACCATAGCATTTCAATGATTTGCAGGGAGCAAAGTGCTGATCTCAATTTGTTAAGACTTTAATGACTGCGCTGGGGCTAAAGGGGAAAACATACCGTAAACCCAATGCTAATAATTAGGACTTGCTGGTTCCATAAGTGCTTTTGATTTGCTGTCCTGATGCTGGTGCACGGAGATTTCTGGTCCAGACCAAGTTCTCCACATGAACCATAGCAAGTGTTAACAGCTGCTAATGACAACTAACACCATTGATTTAACTTCATGATTATGATAATTATTCTCTCTCTCTCTCTCTCTCTCTCTCTCTCTCTCTCTCTCTCTCTGCTTTTTAACCAGAATGACTTCACAATTCAAGGTGATTCATGACAAGAGTGGCCAACGTTTTAAAAAACCACCTCCTGTGTTGGGACTTTTAACAGGAGCTTAATTTGCAGACCTTAGCTGGCGATGATGGGAGATACTTATTTCCATGCCGCAGTGGTGTAACATGGGTTGCAAGCACCCGGGGCAAGACAAGTATTGTGCCCTGTAACATATAACAGCACTGGCGTGGCAATTGCAGCCCACCCACCTCCTGGGTCACCTCCCCACCCATTTCTCCCTTTTCACCTTCTGTTAAATGCAGATCACAGCAACTGCCACCCCAAACACAATATAAACAGCCCAACAAAATATGTGCCTTTCACCTGATGGAAGAAGTGAGGGAAGTAAAGCATGAGTGTGCAATTGTGAGACCATGGTGGGTGGGATTTGAGGCGTTCCCTGCCTCTTGAGAGAGGCACAGACTGAGGGGGAGGGCATGCTATTTTTTTATTTTGAAGTTTTGTGCCCGTAATAATTTTTCGCCTGGGGCAACCACCCTTGTGCCCCTGTGCACACACTACACAACTGCCATGCTGGTTAAAGTTTCCCTTGTTAATTTATACCATCCTGAGTTACTATGGAAGGCCCAAGTATAGTCCAGGGAAGGGGGTTGTTTGGTCAGGTAGGAGCAGAACCACCATCCTACACAGCCTCACTCGCTGCTGTGATCCAGAAGGATGTCACAGTTGGTGACCTCAGAAGCTGCTCAAAGACGGAGTGAGTGTGCTCCTTCCTACTCCTGTCCTGTTAAAGCAGCGGTTCTCAACTTGTGGGTCACCAGATGTTGTTGGACTACAACTCCCATCATCCCTGAGCTCTGGCCTTGTTAGCTAGGGATGATGGGAGTTCTAGTCCAACAACATCTGGGGACCCACAGGTTGAGAACCGCTGTGTTAAAGGACATCCGTCAGGGCAATCAGGCCGTTTCAATGCCAAAACGGGGCCTTATGCCAGACTGAAATGGATCTGGATAGATAATCAGCTTCATCCAGGTATCCCTGAAGTTGCCTGGCAACCGGCTTCTCCATCACTTTGCCCAGACATGGGATGGCTTGCTCTTGTAAGTCAAGATGGGCAAAGGTCAATAGAGCAACAATTGGCTACATGCTTGTAGGTGCCCCGTCCACATCCTCAGGTTGCAGCAACTGAATCTGATCCTAAGTGAACTGGGGATCCTGTGAATGGTGAAGGTAAAGGGTGCAGAGAGTTGCTAGGAGACTCCTCTTCCCCTTCCAAGACTACAATTCTCAGAGTGGTTTCATGATCCATCTCTCTTCAGAGGGAACACTGGGGGTGGTAAGCCTTTGAGGGGATTTCCTAACAACTCTCAGCAGCCTTAACAAACTACAGTTCCCAGGATTCTATGGGGGAAGCCGTGGCTGTTTAAAGTGGCCTGATATTGCTTTCAGTGTATAGTGCTTTCTTCTTTATTTGAAGATAAAGTTGCTCACCCAATGTATCACAGCAAGCATCTGAATAGTTAGTTGTTCTGGTGTTTGGATCTTTCTCACCAATCCACTCACTAATCCAGGCTTCCTCAACCTTGGCCCTCCAGATGTTTTTGGCCTACAATTCCCATGATCCCTAGCTAGCAGGACCAGTAGTCAGGGTTGATGGGAATTGTAGTCTCAAAACATCTGGAGGGCTGAGGTTGAGGAAGCCTGCTCTAATCCATCTCCCCATCATGGGGAAGAATGCGACCAGGTAACCAGTCTGTCTCCTCAGTCTGCTGCCTAGGTGCTGCAAATGGTTGCTGGGCAACTTCAGAGCTCCTGTTCTCTCTCCGTATGGTTGTCTCTCAACGAAACCTGGGGCTACACAGCCATGAATATAGAATTGTATCTTCTGAAGAAGTGTGCATGCACACGAAAGCTCATACCAAGAACTAACTTAGTTGGTCTTTAAGGTGCTACTGGAAGGATTTTTTTTTGTTATGAATATAGAAGACACCTTCGGCATGAAGCTCTTAATCGCAGGTCGTGGGTTTGAGCCCCATGTTGGGCAAAAAGATTCCTGAAGTACAGGGTTTGGACCCATGTTTGGACCCTTTCCAAATCTACAATTCTAGGATTCTATGGAAGATCAAGGGCTCTAAAGCAAGACACAGGGTCATCCTTGCTCTCCACGCATCATGCGTCGTGGGACGCAGGTGGCGCTGTGGTCTAAACCACTGAGCCTCTTGGGCCTGCCGATCGGAAGGTCGGCGGTTCAAATCCCTGCAACGGGGTGAGCTCCCGTTGCTCTATCCCAGCTTCTGCCAACCTAGCAGTTCAAAAGCACACCAGTGCAAGTAGATAAATAGGTACCGCTGTGGCAGGAAAGTAAACAGCATTTCTGTGCACTCTGGTTTCCATCACGATGTTCCGTTGCACCAGAAGCAGTTTAGTCATGCTGGCCACATGACCCGGAAAGCTGTCTGTGGACAAACGGCGGCTCCCTCGGCCTGAAAGCGAGATGAGCGCCATAACCCCATAGTCACCTTTGACTGCACTTAACCGTCCAGGGGTCCTTTACCTTTACTTAACAGGTGGGGCAGTGGGGTCTAGTGCCCTTTGGGACTGGTAGGGGCAGGGAGGTCACCAGTAGGTGGAGGCAGAGACAGGCAGAGCAAGCGCCAATGACAAACAGTGCCAACGGAGGGCAGATCCATGCAATTTAATGCACATCGAATGTGCAATGATCTCCCTACAGACTCACTTGGCGTCCATATAGCTGCTGTTTTAGTGCCAATCTGAGCTTCCTTTATTGTCCCAGCCCATTTAAGATTGTGGTGTTTTATCAAAATTTGGGAAATATGTAGAGAAATCACCAGGGATATCCCAGCTGGCTCAGGAAATTAATCGTTTTGTATTTACAGAAGGGAGGGCCATGGCAAACTACTACTGCTCATAAGAAAGTGATGTGATAATGTTTAAAGAATTTTGACTGATTGAGTGCATATTTAAGTCACATGACCAAACAGTAGAGAAGATGGTTGCACCAGGTT